AAGGCAAATTAAAATATTACACACCATTAAAAATTAAGCGTAGATTGCTCAATTATAATTACAAAAAAGCCAGGGGAAAAGACAGGCTCACTCATCAAAGATATACTCACTCTATTTTTGTGTATGGAATCTCTTTTAATTGTTCCTCTGACAGTCCAGATGGGTCCACAAGTTCCTTCCTGGAAGAGAATGAGCAATGCAGACGTAAGCTGTGTTATGTTGCCAGTGAGTATACTCGAATGCCGTCCATAACTGGCAGGTGAGTCTCCCCTCTAATCTTGTCTCAAAACACGTGTTAGTACAACTTCACCTGGGGAACAACTATTTTACAACTAGTGGATGTTCAAGGAAAATAGAAGGAATGCATTTTTTTTTTTAATTTTGGAGCTCTTTCGCTCTCTTCCAATTTTTCTATATCCAGACCTGAACATTTCATACCTCAGGCCCCTATGCAAAAAATCTGCTGCCCTTTCCCCTTTGGTAGATAATTTTTTTCTTTTTAAACTTCTAAATCTGTCTTGCTTTTTCCCAGTTTTTATATGTGAAATACTTGATGGTCTTGGACCCATGTCGAGGAGAGGCCTTAGAGAGGAGATGTGGAGACCAGCTGCCTGCGGAGCCTGCCTCCCTGGCACTGTTGGCAGCTATGTCCCTGCCACTGAGAGAGCCCGGCGGCACATGATGATGCTAAGAGTGAAGAGTATGTGGCAGACGTTGGCCTTTCCTGTAAATGCAACTGAAGTTGCTTCGAAACAATAAATGAGAGAAAAGCAGTACTCACTGAATATGCTTCCATAACTCTTCTTTTGCTTGGACATCAGGGCTTCTCCTATAAACAGGAAAACACTCGTCTCTACAAACGCATTTCATCTCACAGTCTCAGAGCTGACTGTAACAGAAGAGCAAGGCTGAGTTCTCAGACTGCGCACTTTTTGCCAGCTGAAGCTGGTCACGGAAAGAGAGGGCAGTGAGAATTAATGGGGCAGTAAGTACACGGGTCTCGGGCGACTTATCTGCTAGTTCCACTAAAGGAAAAGTCTCATAAAGACCGGAGCATGGCTTCATTTAATGAATGGGCTTAGAACTTCCACGTACGTCTGCACACCCTCCGTTGGTGACTGTACAAAGAAGACTGATCTGGGGCCTCTGTCCCTAGTCGCTCCAGTAAAACAAGACCCTAACCCGATTCTGCTCATCGAAGGAGTCCCAGCATGACATGTGATCACGCAGAAAAGTCCGCAGCTGCAGGGAAAAGGAGCCGCTGGCACAACCCAAGAGGTAGTGCCAAAGATGCCAACGACCCATCTTTCTAGGTTTCAACAGACGTGTTTCTGCATCAGTTCTTGGCCCCACACATGCTGGAACCTATTTGTGGCCTCTACTCACAGTGCCAACTTATATGCCCTTTTCCACCCAAACACAGACACACTACCCGCAACCACCTCCCCTCACGAAGACCCCATGTCTGTCAGAGTAGAACCGTGTTCCAGAGTTTTCAATGACTCATGTTTTGGAAGTGGCTCTTCAGGCCTTTCTTCTGTGGTACCTCCGGCGGGACTGGGCCCTCTCACCAATCAGTTCATCGCTATGCCTATTAACCGTCTGCCCCACCCAGGAGCCCCACTACCTTTCTTCTGGACTGAGAAATGCAGTCAGCATTCATGTGCTCTCAGTCCCCATAGTTAATCAGAAGCAGCAAATACTAGAACTCTGTTACCACGGCAATTGCTGCTGCAAATGACTCTCTCGTAGTGAGAAAATGATATGCTTTCAAGTGAATTAAGGTCTACTGATAAGTCAAAGAGTCATTCACAAAGGACTCAAACAGTAGCAGAAGGCCTGGAGCAAAGCAAATCCGCCAGGACACGCTATCCTGCGCAACTTTGCATTTATAATTTGTACCCTTATTCTCAGGCTCAGTATCACCTTCGGCACACAGTGTCATTGTTCCTTTCATTTATCTCAGTTATTAAGGCACCACGGAGGCCTGGCAGGTCTCTGGGAGCCTCTGAGTGGGGTAAACTAGAATCGAATTTGCTAAGTAGTTTTCCTTTGTGTGTGAAGCGCAGTCTGCGTGTGAAGCCCTTCTTCCCATTGATTCAGAAGCAGTGCGCACAGCGAGTAGGGACAAAGGATGAATGAAGTCTGGGTCTCCAACATAAAAAAGTGTAGAATTATTAAGAGTAGATTTTGTTTAAGAATAAAACGGTGACGGCTTTCAACTAAAAAGAATCATTCTCAAGAAAGGGTTCTGCTGAAGAGTTTCCTCCATAAACACCTACATTTAGCCAATCTGATGCACTAGACAAAATGTTCACCCATCGATCGCTACTAGTATAAAAACGCTAATATGAAAAACAAACTAAGCTGCGGCTCTGCTCCACGAGAAAGGCGGCTCAGTTCACAACCTCCCCCAGGACTTGGTTCTCACAAACGTCACTCGAGTCTACAGGGCGGGGAACCTCTTTTCTGACAAGGGCCATGTGGATATTTATACTACCATTCATGGACTATATCAATTACCAACTTAAAAACGTGCCTGCTATATTTGGTCAAATATTTAATTAGCTCACCCCTAATACGATGGCTGGAACGGCTTCTCTTTGGTTAAGTGTGCGATGTTAACTGATATTGATGATTTCTTGGGCCTTATAGTGGCCTCAACTGGAGCCCTAGTGCTGTAGAGGGCTGATGACCATAAGGTCAGCAGTTTAAAACCACTAGCTGTTCTGTGGGACAAAGATGGGGCTTTCTACTACTGTAAAGACTTAGTCTTGGAAATCCACGGCGGCAGCTCTCCCTGTCCTATAGGGGCTCTCTGAGTCAGAACTGACTCGATGGCAGCTAGTTGGGGTGAAATGACCCACAGACTGGATGTTCCCACGCTTCACATGCTGTCTCAGCTGAGAAGCTATTCTAATGATTCTTTTGCTTAAGACTTTAAGAAGGTGCAAGAGTGAGTATGTGAGCTTGCTTTCAGGTATCTGAGGATTTCCCACCTCAGCACTATTGACATTTTGGGCTCAACAGTTCTTTGTGGTTGGGGCTGTCATGTGTATTGTGGAATGATTATTAGCACCCCTGGCCTCTATCCACAGACTGTCAGTACTACATTGTGAGTTGTGACAGCCAACATTGTTACACTGCCAAATGTTTCCTTGGGAATAAATCATCCCCAGTTAAAAACCACTGGTGTAGTGTATATCCTTGGAAGTAGGCTGGGTGAAGGAACCGAGTGGCCAATTTACTATAAATATCTCTTAGGTAGCTATTAAAATCATACTGGAGAGAGTGACAGTGAAACAGAAACTCGATATTTGTTTTTAATATTTTCTTTCTTTCTGATTGGGATTGTTCTGTTTTTTTCATTGCTGTTGGGTTTTGTCTATGGTTTACGTGATTTTCTGTAGATGGAATCCAGAATAGGTCAATCTAGGGACACTAAGTCATTGGATTAGTAATTACCTAGTGGGTATAGTGGTCATGCGTTGGGACTGCTAATTGCAAGGTCGGCAGGGAAGACACCACAGCCCCTTGGTGGGAGAAAGACAAGGCTTTCTCCTCCTGTAAAGAGTTACAGTCTCAGAAAGCCCCAGCGGCAGCTCTCCCCTGTCCTACAGGGTCACTAGCAGTAGACACCAACTCTCCAGCAGTGAGCTGAGCTGATCGGAGGTGCCTGGCAGGGGAGGATTGGATGGGCAATGAGTATGAGGGAAAATGTTCTGAAATTGATTGTGGTGAGAACTCGACAACTCTTCTTAATATGACTGAACGATTAAGTTGTATGATATGTGAATTATATGCCAATTAACGATTTAAAAAAAGAATGAGGGGGAAGTGAGCCAAAGGCACAGTAGATGACAGCTTCAAGGAGATGTAACCACAATCTCACTGCTACTGAGTCAATTCCAACTCAGAGTGACCCTACCGATGGCTCCGAGGCTATAAATCCTTACCGGAGCACGTAGCCTCAACTTTCCTCCATGAAGCAGCTAGTAGGCTTAAACCAATGACCTAAAGGTTAGCAGTCTGAAGCTTGATAGTGCCACCAGGGCTATTCTACAAGAGGACTGGTGAGTAGTTTAATTTGATGATAGAGATCAAATAGGGAGGGAGAAGGGAGAATAAGAAAAAGCAGTGAGGGCAACGAAGACAGAGAACTCACCACCTCTATCAAAGGAGTGAGAGATGCTGAACGTGACTAATATATTCAAAAAGTGTATATGATTGAGTGATGGAATTTCAGTAATTTTATTTCTCATTCATATTGTTCTCTTTTTTTCTTTTTAGTCTGGAGAATTTCTTATCTCAATTATCAGGGGGGGAAACCCCACCCATAATGATATTTTCACGTTTTAAAAAATAACTACTGTTGTTTTTTCATAGGATATGGCTTTCATTCTCATCTATGGAGAATCAAATTTTTCCCCCAAAAATATCTTAACATGAATGAGAACATCAATCCTTCTAGCCATAAAAATATTGGTCCTAAATGATTGAAGAATTTGGTCTCTACCTTTAAATCTACAACATCATAACAGACAAAATTTTTACCTAGTTAGAGTTCTGAAATGGCCAGCATTTTCAGATGGCTTATGGCAGGAAAAGTTCTAAAGCTAAATGATCGTATGCAAATTTCTCCAATTACTAGACCACCTGTGATTTTATAAAAATAAACACAGCTACATGATAATGAGGAATGTTTTTCTTAATGCCTACATCTGCACATACTTAATCAATAATTTAGGATGAATTCATGATCTGCAGCTCAACATCACTCTGTGGAGTTAGAGAGCGATGGAATTTTAACAGCCATTTTCCTTAATTAAAAGACCCTTAATTATGCAGATGCTTTCCTTGAACGCTCTAAAGACATTTCTAAGGAAATAGAGCCCTGAGTAATCTATGATGATGACAGATATAAAAAACAAACATGTAGTCTAATATTAGTTCAATATTTTCCAAAAGCATATCCCCTTATTCATATTTTATATAAATGCCCACTTTCAATATTCACTTTTCAGTGAAATTAGTTTCATGAGACATTATTCCAATATAATTTTCCCTTTCTTCCAAAAGCCTAAGTACGAAAGCACTTTGCAAAGTCCCGAAGTGTTTTCATGTGCTCTTCTCGTGCCGTGTTTGAGCGGACTCAGCTCTGACTCACGGCGCCACCTTGGTACAGGGTATAGAACCACTCGATACAATGCTCAAGGACGTGGCCTTTCGGAAGCAAGGTTGCCAGGCATGTCTGCTGAGGTCCTCTAGGTCTATATTGTTAATGAGGTCTAGGTCTATACTGTTAATATTTGTATGATCTTTATACTGGCCACTGCTTGTACGATCTTTATACTGGCCACCGCTTGTGTGATCTTTATACCGGCCACCGCTCTAAAAGGAAATTTAGCATTAACAATATAGGAAGAAAACTTTCAAGTTTACAAAACATCTTCATTAAATAACTCAAAGCACTGAACAGATTATTATCTCAGTAATTCTCTATTACATATCTCAGTGGTCAGTAAAATTAAATAGAAGATGTAGTGTTAGCCTTATCCTCAAAATTAAAGCAGCACTTGGAAGCCACTAAGTCCCAGAAACAAGCCCTAAATATAGCTTAGGAATCACTTCCAGGGGCTTCATGTTAATCTTATGCACCAGGTTTCTGTTTTGCGTTGAACTGTAACATTTTCTTCCAACTTCATCTTCCACGTTTTTTAGGAGAGCTACTTTTAACCACCAGAGGGCGCCTGAGCCTTCCGGTGCCAACAGTCCAAACCAAGCTCACAGCCATCGAGTTGATGCAGACTCACAGTGACCCTACAAGACAGGGTACAACTGCCCCTGTGGGGTTCCAAGACTGTAACTCTCTATGGGAGTCGAAAGCCTCACATTTTGTCCCTCAGAGCAGCACAAAGTTAAAACTACCAGAACTGTTCTAGCTTTAGTAACTAGTCTAAATATCCCAGGGAACACCATGTAGAAAAGTAGTTTCATCAAAGCTGATTGATTGTTTTCTAATGATATTAAACACAAATGTCCGGGCAAGCAATATAGCTGGAAAAAAATGTACAAGATAGACTTGTATTTTTTTAATGTTTTGAAAGCTGAACCCTAATCATATTTCAGCTTCATGTATTTTTAGGAAAGTTTTTACACTTTATAATACTGTCTGTCTCTGGCATTTAATAAAACTAGCTAACAATTACTGTAATATGATTTTCTTGATGTTCGCTGAGGATAAGCAACAAATAACCATGTATCATAGCATTCTGACCTTCACTGGCTACTTTTTCACAGGCTAATTTATAGACATTGCAGTGAGAATAATTGAGAGATAAGTTGTGTGCTGTAGATCTAAATGCCAAATAATGAACAAAATTGAATCAATTTCCTTAGGTGCTGCTGTAGTAATATTTTCTCCTTTTGAATTTTCAAAGAACCAAATTCTAACTTTTTAGCCCTTTATATAAGTTGGCCCCATTTTACTCTCTTTACTTCTCACGCTCGCTCCATTTCAGGGGAAGAAACAACAATCAAATAACAAGGTCATGCTTTCAAGGGAAGAAACAACAATCAAATGACAAGGTCATGCTTCTAGAGATAAACTGAGAAGGTCATGCTTCTAGAGATAAACTAACTGAGACCTGGACAACTTACTAATGGCAGCAACTGCCATTGTGAGTATGTATAATGTGACAGGTGCTCGACTCCCATGACCTCACTTATCAGTCAGCACAACCCTCAGTCACCCTCACTGCCCCTGCGTCAACGCCAACTCACCGGCTGCGCAGCGCAGGGTAGAACTGCTCCTGTGGGCTTCGGAGATGGAGACCTCCTGGGAGTGGAAAGCCCCATCTTTTTCCTGTGGAGCACCTGGTGGTTTCAAACTGCTGAACTTTTAGATGGCAGCCCACTGCATAAAACCACCATTCCACTAGGGATCCTTCAGCAAAACCCTACAAAGCCTGTATCATCTCTATTGGGGAAATATACCACAAGTTTTTGGCATCTTGATCAAGTAAAAGCAGAGCCCACTTTGTTTCATTTAAAATTATCATCTGTAGAGTTACAACACTTTTGACTAGTTGCTTACTAATACTTCCACTTGACTGCTTACTTGGAAGCCCGCTCCCACCCTCCCCAAAAAGGGCGGGGCGAGTAAACTAAGTGTCTGCTTTCTTAGCACTTATATTTAACAATGTAACTCAACATTGTACTAGAATATCTAGTCCTCAAAAAGTGGGAAGAAATAGAAACAAAAGACAAAGATTAGAAACCAAGAAGAAAGCTGGTCTATTTAGAAACACGGTATGTTTGTAATGAAAGGACATTCTAAGAAATACACACACACACACACACTGTAAGCTCCTAGAGTTAAGACATCAATTTCACAAGGTTGCAGGGTGGTAGGACACTATGTCAATACCTGTTTAGAAATCACTTGTTTTACTATATTATAGCAAACAATCGGAAAATTAAATTTAACAAAACTACAGTTCAAAATCATTAAAACAAAACACTTGGGATTCAATTTAACAAATTGATAATTCTTTGCTAAAATCTAGAAAATATTTTGAAAGAAGATGACTTAACTGTATGGATGGGTAAGATAATAAGTTTCCAAATTTCATCTATAGATTCAACATAATTCTAATTTAAAACCTATTATCTTTTTTGGGGGGACGGGGTAGAAACTACAATCTGAATGATGATTTTGCATAGATGCACCTAGGAGCTAAAGCAGTCAAGAACAAAGGAAAAAGGTGAAAATTTTATACTACCTGATTTAAAGATTTGCTATAAACCTTTGGTAACCAAGATAGATGAGGGACAGATGGATCGATGGAATAAAACTGGCAAACATATAAGCAAACAATTGATTTCTTAACAAAGACCCTGAGGCATTTCAATAAAGAGAGTCTTTTAACTTAACAAGCATATGAGGGGAGAAATCCCAAAGCTCTCTATCCCTGTATTACATGTCCACAGCAATTATTTCAAGATGGATCACAGACCTAAACAAAAGAGTAAAATCCAAAGTTGTTAGAAAAAAAGAGACTACCTTGATGAGATTGGGACAGGCAAATATTTCTTTAGATGCAAAGATTTGTAACTATAAACAGAAATATGTACTGAACTTTAAACATAATAGAAATTGCATATCAAAAAATATTAAGAACATGAAATGATAACCCAAGCCCAAGAGGAAGTATTCACCTTAAACATATCTGAAAAGGGATTTGCATGGAGAATATCCAGTATGTGTATATGGTATACACACACACATATATATAATTTAAAAGGGCCAATAGCCCCTTTAAGATGGGCCAAACTATATACTCTGGTTTCTCTTCCAATTGTATAAATCTCTCACCTTTTACTAAAATGGGCCAAACTTTAAAGAGACACTTGAAAAATGAAGATATATTCCTATCAACAAAGCACAAAAAATACAGTTAACATTAGTCAATAGAAAATTGCTAACTCATTTGGGATACTACTTCGAATTTACTCGAGTTGTTAGAATGAAAAAGATGAACAAAACCAAATATGGCAAGAACAGGGCAAAACCAAAACTCTCAGAAACCGCTGCAGCCAAACCGGACCCACTGTGCTGGGGTCCACTCCAAATCACAGCTGCCCCTTAGGGCAGAACAAGGCTCCCCACGAGGTTTCCAGAGCGGTCAATCTTTATGGACGCCACCTGTCACATGTTCCTCTTACAGAGCAGCTCCCTCAAGGCCAGGCCTTTCAGCTGATTCTGACCCACAGCCACCACGTCCCGGGTTTCCAGGACAGCCCATCTTTCTCCCACAGAATGGCCGGCTGCTTCGAGCTGCTGACCCTCCTTTCAGGAGCCCAACCCCTAACTTGCCGTCCCTTCAGGGCCCACGCTGAAGGTGTAGTAAACGGTACAGCGTCTTTGCAGGTCAGTTTGGCATTTCCTTCAAATACCTTTAAGGCAGCAACTCAACTTCTACCTATTTACCCAAAGGAAAGACAATGTATGTCTACCAATACAGATGTCCAGCATGGCGATAGCAGCTTTTAACAAAATATACAAAAGCTGGAAACAATCCCAATGTTCATCGAGGTTCCCAAAAAACAGACAAAAACAAACCCATGGCCCTCCAAGCCCCGAGCGAAGAAGAACTGAAAGGGAGCACGGGAAAGCTTCTCGGTGGTGAGAGACGGGGCGGATCGGCGTGATGGAGACAGTGGGTGCACGGTTGTCAACATGCATTCAGTCACACTCACGAGGAGACCTTCACAGTCTGTAACATTTACCCCATCACCACAATTAAAAAGGTTTACTCTTCATGCTATTAAATGGAACATACTCAGATCACTTATGAAAAAAGACAATAGATAAATAAATAAATACATTACATCCCCTATAAGATATTTGACAATAAAATTGTAGTTACCATCAATTTTGGATTATTCTATAAATATTATTTATAAACAAATGGTTCCATTTACTTACTATGACTTTCCCTACTGCTTTTCAAATTCTCTGAAATTTACATATAGGTTTTTTTCCTAATTTTTACTTCTCTCTTTTTTATATGAAAAGGACATTTACTATTGGCCTTTAATTGAATTTTGAATGATTTAGCTATAATTAGAAAGCCTGAATGCTGTTTTAAGACTTAATATCACGTAACCAAACATTGTGCCTAGCAAGCCTCTCCGCGACAAAGAGCCCACGTGGAAAATGACACACGTGGTGCATCCGACCAGGAGGGCCTGTGCCTTTGGTTGCACAGAAAACTTCAATGAGGCCTGGATTCTTCCATACCTAAACCTCCCCCTTTAAAAAATGTTTTATTAACTCCTGCTTTAAATTAGTCAGCATTTTCATTCTAGAACAAAAGTATTACTAAGGAATGGATCAATCAATGCAGTGTACGTGTTAGCGTGCCGACTGGTTCATTTATCAGACACAAATGTGCCCTCTGGAGGCCTCCCCAGCACTCACACATGACCCCTGACCCCTGCGCCCTGCTCCCTTTGAAACTCCCAGCCTCCTACACAGTGGTCTCTTCTCATCCAGGCACCAAGACCCCTTGGAGCCCTCCTTCCACAAACAAGCAACACAAGACACAGAGCTACCCGGCCCACAAAGGGAGCAGCAATTAGTCCAGGCGCACTGCAGAAAGCTACCCTTTGGGGAGTACGGTTGAGTGCTGTAAATCTGGGTGATGAACGAATTGGAAAGAAAGGGAGGGGTTAAAAAAACCCCAAACTTCATCAGCTCAAAAGAAAATGACTACTGGGGACTGGCAATCTCGCCACCATGGGGTAATTGTGCTCACTCGGGGCACGGCCTAGCAACAGGAAGAGCTCAAAAGTCCCTTACAAAGCTGATTTGATGGGAAGAGACTCACATCTGCAACTGGAAGGAGACGTCGGAGCACTCTGCTCACTGGAGCTGGGAGAAGCAGCAGGTGTTTCAGCAGCAGCCAAGGTCCAGAACAAAGGAGACTACTCCTATTTATTTGGCTAAATACATGCCTTTGTTAAAAATAAAAAAAAAAGATGCACACACGTGTATGTGATTTAAGTAGCCTTCTGTCTGTGACATTTTGATTTGGATGTGTTTCAACCTCAAATATAGTAAACGGATGTCACAAACAAAAGAAGGTAAGTGTGACAAAGAAACAATGGGATAATTGTGGTTGAACCACGTTAGAAGACCTGAAAAAGGCCAAGTCCAATTGGACCCAGCATCGCATGCTCCTGGACGCTCAGTTAGTTTCTTCAGAGTATAAACAGAGTGTACATACGAGCGAGACCTGTGCCTGGATCGCCTGTTGTTGGGATCCGCCTGGTTTTTGTCCTTTTGTCTTCTTAATACGGCTTCCCACTGAGGTGCAGAATCAACCATGTCACTGTCCTGGCGTACTCTGGGAAGAAACCATTGGTCTAGAGTTAACATCCACATCCGTGGTGCCTTGTATTTTACACTCATTCCCAACTCGCTTTTAGAAATCACGTAAGATGAACCACTATACTATGATCACAGAAACTAAGTGTGTATTACCTGGATTAATAGACCTCTACGTAGATAGGTACATGAAAATATAATATGCACGGATAAAGCTTTAAATCTACAGTAGTTATTTTCAGGTTTCTGTCTTTGGCATAATAACATTTTCTAAGAAAATGATGCATACCAAGCAAAAACTCCTTTGAAATATTCAAGTTTTCATTAAAGAAACAGGGCTGTCAGCGATAGAGCCAACCATAGTCATTTTTTAAATGTGGCAATGAAATGATTACATATAATTTTACTTTGAAGTGTTGTTAAAATTCACACTGTCCGAGTGTTCTTGGACAAAAGGTACCAGATAAAATATCTTTTTCCCCCCAAATAGAAAACGAGGTACACAGTGATGAAGTATCACGTCGGCAGCTGTGTAGACACCCAGCATCCGGGTATGGCCGCTCAAATGTCTGGAGAAGGGCTGAGTGAGGGCTGTGAACAGACGGCTGCCAAGAACAGGCAGAGACTGGACAGGAGGCGGCGGAAATCCAGGGTGGGGCTGGGGGATTTGGAGAGCATGGTATTTGACATGCAAGATCTAGGACCAGTGACGAAAATCATTTGAAAAAGATCATCCGGAAATCGGTACATCTGAAATCTGAATTTTCCTTATTTTTAAATATTGACAACTAATTCTGAATTTAAGCCACTATATGGATCTGCGGGACCCCTGGCAGCCCAGCAGTTGAAGTGTTCAGACGTTAACTGAAAGGCCGAAGTCTGAACCCACCGGTGACTCCTCCATGGGAGTAAAGATCTAGCGATCAGCTCTTGTCGAGGTCACAACCTGGACAGGTACAGCGGCAGTTCCCCTCTGTCCTAAGGGGTCCTTATGAGTCAGAATCGGCACGATGACACGGAACATAAAGCCCAATCTCAGCCTGTAGAATGTGAGACTTATGATGCACGAAGGCTTTCCAGGAATGAGGGTGAGACGGGGTGGTAAGCAAGCGCTTGATTAAAACAAGCGTCCAGTGAATATATAAATACCATCTCAAAGGCACTACAATGATGGAGTAAGGCTGTTTGATTTGCAAAAATCCTTGAACACCAGTTATTTGAATATTTGTCTTCTTAATTTCTGTAAGTTCTTCTGGAAGCTGCTCCTGCAAGAAGGGGTGTTGTGTGTTTACAAACATGGGAAACCGGGCAAGGCTGGAGTGCTGTCCTCTCAGAGCAGAGGCCTGCTGGTCGCCCTGTTGAGGCACTGTGGGCGTGTATCTAGAACTGCCTACAACTATGTTGAGAGTGAAACACATCCATTTCACATGTAACTGAAACAGTGATCATATAAAGCAAATTCAAGCTCCAAAAGAGCAGGACAAAAGCATTCAAAATCTCTTGAGACAGACAGACAGACATTGCCTGCATACCTTGCTAATAATATGGATTAAATCAGAAAGGAAGTCAGGCTGTGGACTGACTTCAGTTTTAATTTTTAAAACTGAAAAATGCAAAGGGGGGAGCATCTAAGAAGAGTCCGAAGTGAGGGATGACATTGGGGTCCCATGTTTCACAGGCAGATGCCCTCTGCTGGTGACACTGTTTCATAAATACTGTAACAGGTGCATTAAAAATGTAAGGCTCATTGAAGGCACAACAGAAGCACATCTTCTTGAGTAACAGGTGGCATGGCTGTCTGGGTCTGTAGTGAAGTTTGGAATGACGCCCTCACAAACAGTTGCTGGCTAATGGTCCCTCATTACAAGGACTCAAGTGTCACCTCTCGCATTGCTAAACAAAATGAGCCAGAAGACCCCCGGTGCTCCTGGGGGAGGGAAGCCCAAACCTTAGAAGCAAAAGGGTTGGAGCTTAGGAGGCAAGAGTTAACTATTTTATATATGCGTGAGTGGGTACCAAATCTTTACATTATAATCAATGAGCTCCTATAGTGCTTCTGCTTTTTGAATCTCACATATTCTTAGACACAGGGTATGCAAGTTTGGGTTTTTGTTTATTCATTTTGTTTACTGCTTTTCTTGTGCTATTTTTACTTTGAGGTAGGTCAGATTTACATTTTAAGGATAAAAATTACGAGCATTCAACGAACGCAGTCCCTTTTAAAAAGGTTGTTTGTATCCGTACAGAGAAGGTACATGTCAAACTGTAACTATGAAATCATCAAAATGATTTTGGCTGTCTTTTGGACTATTTTTCAGTTTTCTATAATGTGAAAAAAAGCTTGAAGAGAAAAAAATCCACATTATTTTAAAAACCTGCATGGAGTCCCCATTGCCTGTAGAATAAAGTTAGATGGCTGAAGCTTTTTTACATCTTAGAATGTCATTAGAAATCTATTTATTTTCCTATGTAAAGGTGATTCTCAAAATCATACACCTCTTATCTAAATGCGGATTCAATGAGTCCTCGTCTATTCTACTGTTTCTGCACAATAGTTCAGGAGGGAAGGTACCCTGACGAGGCTTTGCGCTTGGATTAGTGCATGAGGGAGAGGACTGCTGTAGAACAGACAACATCCCAACCACGGTTCAGAACAGAAGACCTCGAGTATATTTTATTCATGTTGTACTAGAGTCCGGTGGCCCACTTTTCCAGTCTATCCATGCAATTTAGATTCCAACTGCATTTGACAATGAAAATTTACAAAAGTTTTGAGGATGAAGCACCACATAATGGTTTCATAGCAATAAGGAAGACGATGACGACTCCTAGTCTCCTCTTTATGGAAGTCTTCCCAATTACAGTTCTGCTCTGCCTCTTCTGCAAAACTCTTCACTTCACCAAATGAATCCCCTTGCAAGTCCCTGTGGCTTCCTAATAAGACCTTCCTTTAAGCCAATCCTTAATCTCCTTACACTTCTCATTCACTGAGTGAAAGACCATGTTTCATGCTGAATTGAGAAGTCCTACCGAGCAAATGTATAATGCAGCTTCAAGATGATACGAGCAATACACATTGCTTCAGAGGCCCCCGCCCAGACATTATCTGACTCGGACACATGAGTAAATCTCTCACTTTCTTTGATTAGGTCTGCTCTGTCTCTATGAAATTACTGCAAAGATCTTTTCCAGCTTTTCTACTGATTGTTTCTCTTCTTGGGTTTTCTTTCTAAATCAGACACATTGAAGCAAACCTCAGTTCTGCAGACACCCAAGGACTCCCCACACGTGCTTCCTATGGCCAATCATTGCTAAAATTAAATCTGTAGGTCCCAACTGACTGTGAACTTGTGCTTCCCATTGTCTGCACTCATTTTTGGATCACCTGCTAGGAAGCAATTTTCTTTTTTTCAATAGTCTTCTTCCCTAGGGAAATTTATGTTGGTTCCAGGGTCTTTTGACAGGCTCCCTGAAGACCAGCAAGCAAAAAATGCATTTGTTTTTTCCACCTTCTCCGACCACCAATAAATTATTCTCATTTGCTCTTAAAGACGCGTCTGTCTCTTTCACTCATTCCTCATGCAGCTCCTAGGAAAATGTGCTGCCTTTGGTGCAGTTTGCTTCTCTATCTGCCAGCATCCCACAGTTGCTAAAGCTTGGCTCTTCCAAGGATTCTCTGTCAGACATAGTGAGACTCTGGAAGTTCTAAATCACTCTTATAACATCTGTATCCCGCCATGCTCTGTTTAAACAAGCATCAGAGCACAGGTCTGTAGCACAGTGAACACTCTTCCCAGTGGCTTTGAACAGACTGCCCTCTCCACAACCACAACTCTAGGTGTTCGCAGCCGGGACAGCAGGTCAGCGCAGTAGGGAATGCTTAGAAGAAAAGAAGCAAGTAGCCTTTGTGAAGGTACTATCAACTGGTTTCAGTTTGCAAAAAACTGGAAAAAAAACAAACCCAAAACTTTAAAAACCCATATTTCTGGGGTATAAAGGACAATAAAGTTATCTTGTACTGCCTGCCTGCTGTTGTGAGCTGCCATGGAGTGGGGGGCTAGCTAACGGTGATCTTATGCACAACAGGGCTGGATCATAAGTTTGATCCACAGGGTTTACGGGGTGATTGGGGAAAGGAGGGGGTGGTGATGGAGCACATCAGGCTTTCTTCCTGGTCCGTCTTGTCTGGGAACTTGTGGAGGCCTGTTCAAAACTTCCTGCTATTGAGTGACTGACTCATCGTGACCCTGTGGGTGGGGCAGAACTGCCCTGTGGGTTTCTGAGGCTATAAATCTCTATGGGAGGAGCAGAAAGTCTCATCTGTCTCCTGAGGAGCAGCAGGAAGGTTCAAACTGCTGACCTTGTGGCTAGCAGTCCAACTTGTAACCCACTTCATCATAATAATAATGTTCAGTATCATAAACAAATTAACAAAAACTACTCACATTACAGGAGCAGACAGGCCTACCTAGGGGCTCATGTGTTGGAACCGCCAACCTTACAGTTAGCAGCCCAACACAGTACCACCATGCAAACCTCTATTGACGCATGAGGTGCACTGTCTGGGAACTGAACTCAGATTACGTGGAAGGCGAGACTTCTAGCACTAAACTACCACTGTTCCCTCGCACTTCTGTAACAGTCACAGAATCCTACCAAAACCATCATCCACATGTGTCCTACCCAAATTTGTCCCTGTTAGTGCCATATTTCGGCCAGGGGGGGCACAGTCTCTTCATTTTCAGGAAAATAATAAAAGAAGATCTATGGAACCGGTTTAAAGCATTCAAAATCACTCCCTTAATCGGCTATTCAGATTTAGATTCTAAAAGACTTGAAAAGGCACAAAGAAACCCCGACAACATTTGGGCAGAACAAATTCATATGAGAAACAGTGACTTTGGTTTAAAGGGAGCCCAATCCCCACACCCCTCGACATGTGTTCTGTTTTCAGAGAGTCCAGGCTCTTCCGATCATCCAGGGTACGGTTGAGCACTCTCTTTAACCCACTAGTACCTG